CATGCACATCTTCTGCCAGCAAGAAGGTCCTTGCCAGATGTTGCCTCCTCGACTTTGAACTTCCCAGACTCTAGAACTTTAAAAAATAAATCTCTGCTCTTTATAAATTATCAAGTTCAGGTATTCTGTTATAGGAACACAAAACACACTAAGACAACTGTTGTTAACATTCTGCAGAAAATACTTCCAGCCTTGTTCTCTGTTTTTGTTGTACTATGGTGTTGACTTCCTATTCTATCAAAATAGATAGGGGACCTAGTGTACTCTGCCTCCCCCTTTTGTTTAAATTCTGAACATGTGTTCTGGCTTCAAAACAAATATTTGTTGATAGCTCGTGTTATCAGTATGTGCCTAGAACTTTGGTTGGTCTGGTGGATTTGGTGAGATAGCTATAATCCAGACCCTCATGATACTCTTTGTTGCCTAAGAGGAGGGGACAGTGACATTCATTACTTTAAGCATACTCCATCACAGTGCCATGAAAGAGAAGCCTGGCCCAGAGTTGCCCAACCTCACTTGGCTGAGTTTGGGGAACTGCCTAGGAACCTGAGGCTCCAACTGAGACCTCCAAACGGACCTCATGAGGGGAAGAAAAGACAGAGGCCAACCAGCATGAGTGACCAGCATGCATAGAAAAAAATGCTGGTGTCTGATTTTTGAACCACTTCTGAAGACTATCAAAATTTCCTTGGGCATTTATAGGACTGCTTGCATCAAAGTCACATATGCAATAATTAAAAATGAAGTGTCTTGATCCTCACCTCAGACACACAAAATTAGCCTCCTTCTCTTTTAACAAGTTTCAGGTATTGGGTTACACAGAGTCCTCACTTATAGGGATCATGGGGGAGCTCCTGGACACAAGTCCTACACCCTGATTCCAGAACCAGCCCCACCAGGGGCTTCGTTGGGAGAAGTGCATGTGCGAAGTGTGGGACCCTGAAAAAGCGAGGGAACTACGGTTCGTTATCATATTTCATCGACTGTGCAGGCACATTTCTTTTTCACACTTTAAAGTGTCTGAAATGGGGGTGCACGAAGAATCAAAGGAGAGTAATAATTTCACTGAAAGAATTTTTTTTTAAGATAAAGAAAATTATTAGGTATGTTTTCCAGATGTGCAAAAAATATGGTAGCCATCTTCCCCCATTATCCTCTTCTCCTTTGTTCAGATGGCCCTCCCTGTCCCCTCATCTAGAAGATGCACTGGGGGTATGCACTATTCCCTGCAGAATATATGATGCTGTGTTTATTAATTTGCACGAACATTGTTACCTACCACAGCTCTTCCCAACTTCTTTAGATGCGTTCTTGTGGGTTTCTAGTTTATTTTTGCTTTTAGTTATGAAGTCTGAAAATAAAAGTATTTCTGGGGCACATCTTCAGAGATACTTCTATACATAAAATTGCAAGAACTAGGCTGGGAATGTGGCTCAGTGGTAGAGTGCTTGCCTGGCATGCATAAAGTCCTGGGTTTGATTCTCAGCACCACAAACACAACAACAAACCAAACTCAATAACTAGGAAAGAGGGTTCAGAACCTCTGCCTTGCTTCCCCTGAGACCAGCTGGAATAATGAAATAGAAAGGCAAGGTATTCCATGGTAACACCTGATTCCTCAACAGAGAGGTCTGTTCTGAACCCACAGCCACAAGGGCAGTGGCAGGATTTCCAAGGTTGTGGGTTCATCCACAGGGAGGGAAAGGAAGGCAGTGACATCAGCTCTTCATGGAACTTTCCAGGATACAGGAGGCTGTATTGCTGCATCCATCTTTCTATCCCCTGGCCCTAGCCCTTCCCTGCCTCAGTCTCCACCCAGTTGTTCTTTCCCTATCCCCCCAGGGATTTCTCCTGAGACTCATTGGGACCCTCTATTTAGACAGCCCAGGGTCCACAGCTTCTGCCTCTATGGAGGGTGTCAAGAATCTCCACAGTAGCAAGGACAAGGTTGAACAAGGTTTATGGTTCCATCCATAAACCTAGCATTTCAACCCCTGCATTTACCATTCACCTCTCCTCACATCTCTATTGTGAACAGCAAGGAACATTGATGGGACAACGCCACTTCCTTCCTGTAAGGGTGTAGCTCCCAGGAATGGGAGGGTTTGCATCGGCCTGCAATGACAGCTGCTTACAGCTGGTCCAGTTAGCAGTATGGTTGCCGCCTGGTTGGACTGAAACAGTATTGAAAGCTCCCATTTTCTTTGGGGTAACATGTGTAGTCTTTTGTAAGGCAAATCTCCTGTGCTGCTTCCTAGAAGGGTCCCATCACACCAGCTTTCCAGAGACCTAAGGCACATGAACTGCTCTGTACCGTGGCTGGTGAGCATTCATGCGCACGGTGGCCAATGCCTGTAGGTGGTTTCCCTGTAGCAGAGGCTGCTGCATGACAGTCAATATCTGTTGTCACTTTCTTTATTAGTAACACAACACCGATTTTATTCAGAGCCACACTGATGTCCAGTTAAAAAGACAACTATTCCCAGACTTTCTTGCAGCAAGTTTAACCATGTGGTTTAGTTCTTACAAACAGAATGTGGAATGTAGGAGTTTCTGGAGGTCTTATTAAAGGAAGCTAACTTATCTGAGGGAGAATTCTTTATCTTAACAGCTTCCTAGAAGGCGTCCTTGATAGCTGGCACCATCTTGGACCATGAGGTTACTTTCAGAATGGAAGCTGCTCTGAGGGGATGCAGAAACAGAAAGTCACAAGGAGCCTGGCTCCCCAATGGCGAGGGAGCTGACATGCTAGCCCTGAACTACCTGCGTCCAGACGTCTTTGAGAAGTGAGAGCAATACTCTTCCATCTTGTTAGAGCCATTGTTGTTTACAATTTCCTGGCACAGGCAGCTGAACCTGATCCTAACAAATGAATTCAGTAGTATAAGCCTGTTACCTTTGAATTTCTTGATTAAATAGGATCATTCTCTCATCCTCTTGGGATGCAACAAGCATAAGATAAACAGCATGAACTTTAGAGTTAATAAAAATACTTTTGAATCCCTGCTCTGCTACTAGCTGTGTGCTGCAAGCCACAACTCTGCCTTTTGGAAGGATTTCCTACTATAAAGTGTTGTCTGCACTAAATGAGTTAATACCTAAAACACATCTGGTACACAGTAAGGAAACAACAGTACTGTTTTGTTTTTTTCCTCCCCTCATCCTCATGTTGGGCATTTTATTTTAAGTACTCAAGAGAAATCCTGGGTTTAAATGCACATTTGGGATATTTCTACATAAGCCAATCTGCTATCTTAACCTCAGGAATATAGTGGTGGGATTCAGCTATGTAAAAATACCCACAATTAATGCAGTAGAAGTACAGGACAGAGGGAGGCAGTCAAAAAAAGAAACAGCAAATGGAGTCTAAATTAACAAACCTCCCCTAACCTCAAAGGTGGACTCGCCAGCTAAAACCAAAGCAGAGGCCCACTGGACCCATGAGAGCCAGCACTCACTTTCCCATGGCATCGTAGCCCCAACAACAATGAGTAATGGGATGACTGACAGCATTGCCATCCTGTGTCCTGTAGGCTGACCACCTTGGGGGGAGATCTATGTGTGGGGTAGAAGCAGAAAGCCTGATTCAGTTAGCACCACACAAACAACTCTGAACCTAAGTATAAGACCTGGAACAGCTAAACTGAGAGAAAACCAGTCTATATAGGCCACTATTGATTAATGTGTTGGGCCACCTGCCAGGCTCATAAACACCTCATGCCCTGCCCTAACATGAGAAAAGTTATGCTGAGAGAATTTGTATATTGTCAGTCCCTTGGCTGGTCCAGAGCTATGGTGAGGGGAAAGAGAAGCATGGTAAGTCATTGGAATGGGGGAGCAGACCACCCTGGTGCAAGACATGATGGCAGGACTCCCACCCTGGTGAGGACGCAGCCCTAAGTCACACACAGCCATAGTTTACAAATTGTCTTACTCTTGGACCCTCTGGCAGAGCAGAAGACCCTATGGAATTTCAGGTTTGCCAAAAAATAAGTTACATGACCTTAAGAGTTGGAAGGAACCAGAAAATGAAGTTCAATCCCCTTTTCCTCTTATGGAGTAAAGTGTCTCAGAGTGGGTGGCCGGGGTGACTAGTTAATGGCACAGCCAGGCCCAAAGCTAGGCCCCCCCAAATCCTAGGTCGTAAATTTCACCTTACAGCATTGATTTGGTCCAGGGACATCTTTTATTTTTTTTTCTTTTTTTTTTCTTTCTTTTCAGTTCTTAATATGTGGATTCAATTATCAAACAACTGGGAGATAGTCTTTACTTTAAAACCCACAACTACATAGGATCTGAAATTTCAGATGACCTTCAAGGTCCTGGAACAATCAATCTTTGAGTCAAGGCAGAAATGAGAAAAACAGCCTACGAAAGCTTTTGAGAGAGGGAGGAAGCTTAACTTGGAAAGGAGGGCCCCATTTTTTAAACCTCATAAAAAGTAGCTTCATTTATTGGCCTGACTTCTAGCATTAACAAACCAAGAGCATGATGCTTCCAGAAATGCCGTGCTGGGAACAAGGCTCCCTATGAGAAAGCCGGACCCCAGGTTTTAAAACCTACAAGATGCCACACAAGCACTTTCCCCTTAAGGCAAAGATCTAGCTTTGTTCTCCATGCTTAGCACACCCACAAGATGGGGGAGGGGTTTCTACATATTTGCTTCTCATGTTCAAGTGGGAGAGGCAGTTGAAGAATGGGAAGCCAAGAGGTGACATGGGCAAAGCCATGTAGTCAGCAGTGGAGTCAAAATTTGTACCAAATCCCTAAACTGATGCTTGGCCTCTTTCCACCATGTTGACAAAGGCTTTGGGAGATATGATGCAGCAGGACCTTCAACTCCCAAGAAACACTCGTTGGAGAACAAAAGTGCTGGAATTCTGTGGGCCTGTTACCCATGCCACCTGTTACTGCCCCTGCAGTCTGCTGCCCTCTGGGAAGCAGTCTGTAGGGCATCTTGGGCAGCTCTTGCCCCCACAGCCAAAGACAGTAGACATAGATATTTCCATGCAAAATCTTTATTTGGAACATGTGTTATGGACCAGGCCAGCCGTCCTGAAACATAAGGGTATTTACATTGTGCCGAGAAATACAAGAGCTCTGTACAGGCATTCATCTGTGCTTCGATGGCATTTTATCTGCTACTTTGCTCTGCTCTGCCTTCTTTGTGCTCATTTTCCTCACTGTCCTTCACCTTTCATCACCCAAGGTCTCCTGTACTGCCTTATATGGAGGTGGTGACCTCACTTGGTAAATGGCTGTTATTGTCTGTCTTCCCCGCACCCTCTCCACCTGCCCTAGGTAGTAAAGGTGCCCAAAGAAAGGAAAAAAAGTCTCTGTGGGGTTGCAGGGCCTTATCTTCCCCTAATTTTATTTTAATTTACTTACTTCATGTAATCTATTTTGAGACTCTTCTGCTTAGCATACTGAGTGCCAGGGCTTTGATTCTTGGCAGATGCAGGTGGAGAGTCCTTTGATGATTTTTATAATCTATGAGTTTCTCCTCGTTTGGACAACTGGTTTTCATTTCTAACTTCTGTTTTCAGCTTGAACTTGTCTTTGTCTTCTTCTTGCTCTATGACAGAGTGACACACATCTGGGCTTTGCCACAGGGCTCGGGTGCAGGGAGGTAGAAGTAGGTGCTGCTCTTTTGGCTTAGCTGCCAGCCCCAGCAGGGCTTGGCTTCCACGTGGAAGAGGCTTCCTCTTCGCCCCCAGTCATGGCAAGGGAATGAGTGGCAGCAGTCTGGCTTGCCTTTGGGTTAAGCTTGTCGGTAGGCAGAGATCACAGAAGGAGCACCTCCCTGGCCTCTACTGAGTTAGTAAACATAGTTGTGACAGGGGCTCTCAAAAGTCAAGGCCAGGAATGCACAGGAGCTTTGGCCATGGCCCCACCTGCTAATGAACTTAAGGACTGTTTTAATAGGCAGATGGCTAGAATATAGGGACCTTTTCAAGAGGCTTCTATCTGAATTTATAGTTCTAACCACTTCCTTTGTTTTCAACAAAACATGCAGGCTGGGGCTGCTCTTCCTTTGAATGTTTTGTTTCCCCTCTTAGCTTGGTGGGTCTCAGAGTGGACCAACCCTTGCTCCAGGAAAGGACCTCCCACCATGCTGACTCTTAAAGGTCATTTGGAATGTGTCTCTTAAGTTCTGTCCTGAATAGCAATTCACCTCCCATAAACAGATGTAAAGAATGTGCAGTCAAAAACAAAACAGAAAGAAAATGCAAGAATCTCCCAGGCCTGCAACAGCTTCAGTTTAAGAAACATACTCCCATTCCTACCCTTCCTCTTAGGCCTGGTTCTCCCCTGCACAGCCGGATCTGGCAGAACAATGCTCCCAAACATTAATGTAATCGTAGATAAGAATTTAGGAAATTGCAAGTGTTTCTCTAAGTTCAGATTTAGAGACAGAGAATTCAGCTGCACTGGTTACTTTGCAAGAGATGTTAACCTGACAACATTTTAAATGAGTAATGAAAAAGCCCAAACACGCAAACACAACCTTTGGGGAGCTGCAGGATGAAACAGTAGGTTAATGCTTCTTCCATTGTTCTCTTCTGCTCAGATCTGGGATGTAGTTGGCTCAACTGCAGATCCGCTCCATCAGATTTCCTCAGAAGCTCCAAACCAGGATGCTCAGAGTAAGTCATTCTGAGGCTGGGAAAAGTGGTCAGGATCTAGGTTCAGAGTCATTTGAGTTTAAATATTTGAACTTCCATGAATGACAGCCCTGTACCAACAGGCAAGTGGAAGAAAAAAGTCCTACTTAGAATTTCCACTTGAATCAAAACACAGATGTACAATTCTAGTAAGGAAACCAGAGCATTAAAGAGTAGATCCATGTTTTAGGGTCTTTAAGAAAAAAGATATCCAAGTAGTTATGAGTGATATGGAAATAATTCTTAAGAGTCAAACAGGAACTGGTTGCATCTTTAGAAAGGAGTTCTCTGGGATTTGCAAAACATAAGGTTGAAAATGATAATAAAGAATGATTTGCAATCATTCATAAATTTTCTTTAAAGAAGGGCAGCCAGACCTAAATTACTATAATTTCTCTCTCCTTTTGCAAATCCAGAAATACATTTCATATATAATTCTTTATACAATTTTTAGTTTAAATGGTCAAAATTAGAACTTTTAACTTTACCAGTTCCAAATTATTAAACACCAACAGAAAGTCATGTGTGAGAAGAACAATGAAAAACACAAAACAAACACTTTTTTTCCAGCCACAGGTGTGTATATATGAGAAGTAGGAGTAATGAAAGTATAATTAGTATTAATTTCAAAACCTCTGGAAAATCTATTTTTGATTAGAAACTGTTATTTACCTCAGAATATGAAAGTTTAAAAGTCAGATTTTCAAGTTACTAACTTTAAAATCACCCCCTCAAAAGATTTACAAAGGCTTGAATCCAGAAAAATTAGGGTTAAAAACATAAATAGTAATAATTTTCACTAAATGCAGAATGGTTCCAGAAAATTATAATTACAGCAATTGAGAATAAAATAAAAACAGAAAAGAATTGAGACACATAAGGTACGTTTTTTTTCCCCCCCTTGAGGATTCTTTTTTTTTTTTTTCTATTGAGGTATGAGCTAAAATTTAATTATTTTGTTAAAAGAAGTTTCGGTTGGTATCAATGAAACTTAAGAAGTTAGAAAAGAGCTTATGTATATAAATGCATATGTACGTATGCATACATTGGTGTGTGCACGTAGGTATTTGCACATGTACCTTCTTTCATTTGCTTTTAATTAGGGAAGTACAGAGATCTCCGAGTGGCTCAGCCCTCACTGAGTTCTTTCTATCAGATGACTTGAATGATTCACCAGTCATAACAAAGTGACCCGATCTCTTTCCCACCAGATTTTTCCTGGGAAGAGACTGGGCCTGTCTGATTGCTGCTGTGAAAACTGGAGTCTCCTCTAACTTCTCATAGCACCACGCTCTGGAAAGAGATGACTATAAGTGGGAACCAAGACTGCAAGTAAGTGTATTTAGACTGACTTAGATTCTGTTTTGCCTGCTATGGTCCAAATACATGAGGTTCTTATGAAATAATATCATATGGTACAGATACAAGCAGGCCACAAAACCCGGTCCATCACTTTAGGGTCAATAGACAGACCAGCCAATGGTTCACATTTTAGGAATTTGAAATGTCTAAAAATAGATGAGGTGGTTTCTCAACAATTACAAAAAATAATAGAGAGAGAAAGAAAAACCATAAAAGGGGAAATAAGGGGAGAAGGGGAAAAAGGAAAGAAGGGAAAAGATATGAAACCATATAGAAAATATTAGCTAACAAGAATACCTTATTGAGAAGGAAAAAATGCATAAAATGCATACATTTTGTGCAGGTTAATGCAATATTAAACACAGTAGAATATGTAGGCCTTATAATTCTTTTGTAATATCTCCAAGCACTTTTTAAAAATATGTGAGGCTAATTCAGAATCATTCTAAATAAAAATACACATTTCTTTAAAGAGACAGGGGAGGGGAAAAGGAGGAAGGTATGGCATCAGGGCAGATCCCCACAGACATAAAAAGATGAAATATGTTTTTTTTTTGGTAATTTTAATTGATATGGCAGTAAAAATTGTTGCAAAGATGTAGGCTGGTTTGAAGTAGAGGGATATTTTCAAATATAACCTTATAGCTACATTTGCAAAAGAAAATTTTGTGAAAGTTTATTAACCCTGTGATATGTTTATATTGACATTTCCTAAAATAAAACAGAAGCAATAGTTAAGAATGGGTCAGGGACATATGTTTTAAAGCAAGAGCAGACCCTCTCTGGGTTCCTCTCACACAAAGGGATAGACTCTTAAATAAAATAATACTTCCTTAAAAATCTGCTGCCTAACAACTGTTTACATCATAGAAAAATAGCAATTTTGTAAAAAGAAATATAGTTACTTTGTTAAAATTGTCTATTTTAAACCAGCAATTATTTTTCATATAAAGAATTTCTAAACATCCATACAGAAAATAAAAATAGATAATACTGAGTGCAAAGCAGACCATGGCATGTTTGCAAACAACGAAAGTATTTCATTGCCAGATAAATAATGCTCTTAGTATATTACAGTACAAATGTTCTCTTTTAGAAACTTTAAAGATATTGCTTTTATCCTCTGATGGCAAGTTACTTACAAGTAAAGTTACTTCCAGCAGCAGAAGACCAAATTGATTAGAAATGGATCATATATATTCATTCACATTTACCCACTACTGGAAGCGCCCAAACACTGGGCAAAAGCCTATACCCCAAACCCCTTAGCATGAGTGTGGACTGCAGGCTGAGGAGACTCAGAGGGGAAATGACATTCATGGTCCTTTCAAAATCATTCATTATATCTTCCATGTCTACATTTTCACATGGAACCAAATTAACACCAGACTATTTATCAGCTTAGCCAAATTCATCAGGAAGGAGATTGCATGTGAAAACTCTTTTCTACATGTAGGCATTAAATCTTCATGTTATAAAAACAGATGGTTTCAACAGACTATTGCTTTATATTCACAGCAATTCTGTATGAATGACAGATTTCCTACTGACAGTGGTGAAGGAGAAATCAGTACACTAAAGACCAGAGCTGCTAGCTTCTGCTTGGGCAAGATGGGTGGATGGACTCAATCAGGGAATAATCAACCAGCAAACTAAGGTGGTCCCAGGCTTCACTAGAAATTCATCATACCCTCTCCACTCTGCTTGGGTCATAGGAATCTGTAAGAGAAACAAAGGAGAAAAGAAAAGGGAAGAAGAAATAAAATTAGTGCTATGTTTAACTAGCATGTTTTTTGAGGATTAAAAATCCTCAGCCTAGAAATAAATTTGTTTAGAGAGCAAATCCACAAGAGTATAAAATTCATTTTTAGACACTGCAACAATCTTGTTTTCACTGGAAAATAAAAATCTATTGTTAAAAGATTGTTTTTAAGAAATATGTATGATCATTACTCAAAAATATGGGAAAATGTGAATTGTTCAATTTTTTAAAAAATATTTTTTGTAGTTGTAAATGGACAGAATGCCTTTATTTATTTTATTTGTATATGGCACTAAGGATCGAACCCAATGCCTTGCACATGCTAGGCAAGCGCTTTGCCACTGAGCTACAGCCCCAGCCAAAGTTGCTTAATATTTTGATGACCCCTTCCTGTTGTTCATAGTGGAATAGAATTAATGATACATGGAGAGTTTCTTAACCAGCAGTAATGTCCTTGGCTGATGCTATAGAGGATGTCTTTTCTTTTCTCACCTTTTTAAAAAAATTATTATTTGTGATTTTCAGCTATAATGAAAGCTTGCTTTAGAATACACATTCTTATAATCAAATACTGTCCCATCAAGGCTTGGGGATCCTGAAATCCTGACTATGTGGCCAGCAACGAGTGGTACAATAACTAAAACATTGTAGAGATTCCTCAAAAATTAGTAATAGAACTACCATATGATCCAGCAATCTCACTACTGGATACATACACAAAGGAAAGGAAATAAGAATGTCAGAGATTCTTGCATACCTATGTTCACTGCAGCACTATGCACACAACAGTCAAGACATGGAAACAACCTAAAGGTCCATCAAGAGATGTATAGATAAAAAAAAATGTTTCTCTCACATATATATAATGAAATATTATTAAGTTTTAAAAATATCATTAATAACATGGATGAATCTTTTATCATGGTAAGGGAAATAAACCTGACACAAAAAGACAAATACTGTATGATCTCAATTTTAAAAAGGTTAAACTCATAGTAACAGAACAGAATGGTGGTTATCAGGAGATGGGGTCTGGGAAAAGAGGTGATGCTAGTCAAAGAGTGTGACCAGTTCAGGATGGTGGCATAGTCAATAATGCTGTGTGGTATGCTAAAGATCTGTAATAGTTAGATCTTCAGTGTTTTCACCACACACTAAAAATTCCTAACTATGCGAGGTGACAGATGTTAACTAGCTTGAATGTAGTACCTGTTCTACAATATGCATGTGTGTGTGTATAAAATACTGTATACTTTAAATATATACAATTTTTACTTATCAATCATACCCAACAAAGCTCAGAAAAAAAGCAAGGCTTAACACAGTACAAAAGGTGAGTCATTTAAAAAAGAAGTCTGGAAGGATGATACAAGTTGTCACTAAGGAAAACAACTGCAAAACCACCTTTTCTGAAATCCATCTGAAAAGCCATGTGCTATGAAGGCCACTTAGATTCCGACTTCTCTAGCAGCAAAATACTTCACCATGTCCTTCTTGAACCTTTTCCACTTGGTGCCACATTATGTATGATATGCTAAGTACCATAATAGTGATAACTAAGACAGTGTTGGGAGCACGCTGAGCAGATGTTATAGACTGGATGGGACAATCTGCACTGAGGAACAGAAGGCTGCTCCTGCTCAGATGTGATTAGCTGCCCCAGGGCTAACCTGGCTGAAAGGAAGTGGAGTCCACATGAGTTATTGCCATCTGACATTTTACACTTAGCAACACCCTTGTGCCCACAAAAGCCGGCTGCAGTTTTGTGCTCAATCAGCCTCACAATGTGCCAGTTCTGAAAGGGTCCACCTATGAGCAAAGAGGACACTGAGAATGAAGCAGGAAGTCATTATGGCTGATAATCTGGAAAGGGCACGATTCTAGCTAATCTGAGGGAGGCTAAGGGCATGATTCCAGTTAGTCTGAGGGAGGCTGGGCATCCACAAAACTTCAAATCATACCCGAGGCCCACAGCCCTGGGGCCCAGACATGGGAGCCATGAAAAGAACTCTGTAAAACAACGGGCTCTTCCATTAGCTTGTGGACAGTCTAGGTTTGAGAAAAATATGGTGTGAGCACTGTAATGTTGTTTTAAATGTTCTAGTAGTTACATTCAAACAAATAAAAAGAAATCAACTTTAATAATATACTTTATTTCACCAAATTTATCCAAAATGTTACCATTATAACATATATTAAATATAAAAGTTATTAAGATATTCTTTTTTTGTACTAAATCTTGAAATTCTGGTGCATATTTTATACCTACAGCACATATTTCCATGTGAATGAACCACATTTCATGTGCTTACCCATCCAAGAGGACAAGGGGCTACTACTATACTGGACAGTCTGGATCTTGAAGGTAGAGTGGTTACCTGGTACTATGGTTTGGAAAAGTGTCCCCCAAAGGTCCATGTGTTAAAGGCTTGGTGGCTAGATGGTGGCATTACTGGAAGTGATGTCCCCTTTGGAAGGTGGAGCCCAGGAGAAGGAAATTAATCATTGGGAGTGAGCCCTTGAAGGGGATGTTTGAGCTCTAGTCCCTCTTCTTCCTGTCTTTTTCACTTCCCATCTACCATGAGGTAAAAACGCTTTGCTATGCCATAAGCTTCTGCCATGGTGTGCTGTCTCATCACAGGCCCCAAAGCAACAGAACCAACTTATCATGGACTGAAACCTCTGAAACTGTGAGCAAAAATAAATCCCTCCTTTTTTTCAAGTTGATTATCACTGTGATGGAAAGCTAAAACGTGGAGTATTTTAATCCTCTTTCTCTGAGCTATTTCAGCCGATGAAAATACACCAAGATATGTCCCAGTAGGTATTTCATGCATTAACGACCTGAAAGCTATTGCCCTTGAAGGTGTGCCAATGTCTAGCCTCCTGATGGTGCTCTCTGGCTTCTTTGAACCTTCCCTGATTTTCTCTACTTTGGGCCTAAAGCAGAGAGCCCCTTACATCCTCTTTTTAGCTTTTCATTAAGTTTTTTTAAAAAAATTTGTTTTCTTCTTTCTTTTATCTGTTTAATTGTGACCTGAATGGTTCATGGACAATTATACATATTCATACTTGTTACTTTTTTTGCATTTCTATCATGTTTTGAAGGCAGTTATTTTTCATGGATCAGTATTTTAAGGATTGGGATGTTTGATTAGTGTATTTTGGGTTTTTTTAGTATTTTATTTAATTTTTACTTTATATATTTTTTCTCTCACTTATCTGTGTCCCTTGATTCTCTTTGCTTCTGCTAACAGCCAATCTCTATTGTCTTCTCTTTCACTCTTCCTTTAATTTTTTACTTTTATTTTCTCCCCTCCTCCCTACATCACTTCTGTTCTTTCTCTGTTCACCTTTCAAAATTATAAACCCTTTTGCAAACTTATTGTTTTTTTCTGCAGGCAATAACTGATCACATCATTTCTGTTTATTGTGACAATTAACACTGTAGATGTCACAGCATGAAGTACTTCGTTTAACACTGTATATTGTTTGCATTGATTGTTGTTGTTATTTGTCTCCCCCTAAATAGTGAGATATTAGAAACCTTCAGGGATACTATAAGTCCACAGGGTAGAAAGTCTACCTCCTTAGATACATACGGCTGGATGGTTGGACACACAAACAACATGAAAAAGGAAGGGAACAAATTGCCTCAAACCAAAATGCTTCAATAATATAATCTTTTGACACCACAGTAAAAGAAATGTCAGAGTAGTTTATAATGTTCATAGTTGAATTAATTTGTGAGGTAAAAAACAATGTAGGAGTAAAATCAGAGATAGATATTCTGAAAAAAAAAAACAAGCAGAAATCCTCAAAAGGAAGGAATCAAAAAACCAAATAAAAATTCAATGAAAAGCATCCCTAGTAGACTAGACCACTTGTAAGACAGAGTTTCAGACAATGAAGCCAAAATATATAATCTTGAAAATAAAATTGACCATGGAGAAAAAATTTTAAAAAGACAATGAGCAGAATTTCCAAGGAATATGGGATAACATGAAAAGACTAAATATCAGATTTATCAGAATAGCTGAAAACTCAAAAATATAAACTAAAGGAATGCACAGGAATGAAATAATGTCAAAAAATTCCACAAAGCATAAGAATGAAATGTAAAATCAAATACAGGATGTTAATAGAACCTCAAATATACAAAATTTCAACAGACCCACACTAAGGCACATTATTATAAAAATGACTAACATACAGAATTAAGAGAATTTTAAAGGCTGCCAGGTTACATTTAGAGGGAAACTAATTCAGATCTCAGATAATTTTTCAACCCAAACTCTTGAAGCTAGGTGGTCTTGGAAAAATATATACCAAGCTCTGAAAGAAAATGGATGTCAACCAAGAATACTATGCCCAGCAAAATAGAGCTTAAGAATTGATGATGAAATATAAAAAAATCTTCCACATCAACAAAAGTTAAAATAATTCACAACTAGAATGCCTGTATACAAGAACATACTTAATAAAATATTTCATAAAGAAGAAATGAAAAATAAAACTGAAAACCAGCAAAGGGAGGAACTACACTAAAAAACTAGTCAATCAAATTCAAATTAAAAAACATGAAATAAATAAAAAGATGGAATAAAAATCATTTCTCAATAATAATATTGATTATAAATGGCCTAAACTCACCAATAAAAGACACTGATTGGCAGACTCTATTAAAAAACAAGACCCAACAAGATGCTGCCTCCAAGAGACTCACCTCAAAGGCAAAGACATCCATAGACTGAAGGTAAAAGGATAGAAAAAACCATATCATTCACATGGATCTCATAAACAAGCAGGGGTTTCCATCTCCATATAAGATAAAGTAAAGTGAATTTCAGGCCAAAGTTAATCAGAAGGGATGAAGGAGGACATTTCATACTGCTAAGGGAATTATACATCAACAAGACAAAACAATCATAAAAATTTATGCCCCAAACAATGGAGC